TGCCACAGCCACCTGAGTAGCTGGGATTACAGGTGCCTGTCACCACGCCTGGCTAATTTTTGTATTTTTAGTAGAGATGGGTTTTCGCCATGTTGGCCAGGCTGCTCTCGAACTCCAGACCTCAGGTGATCTGCCTGCCTTGGCCTCCCAAAGTGCTGGGATTACAGGCATGAGTCACTGCGCCCAGACTTTTTTTTTTTTGAGATGGAGTCTTGCTCTGTCACTCAGGCTGGAGTGCAGTGATGCAATCTCAGATCACTGCAACCTCTGCCTCCTGGGTTCAAGCGATTCTTTTGCCTCAGCCTCCCGAGTAGCTGGGACTACAGTCACATGCCACCATGACTGGCTAATTTTTGTATGTTTAGTAGAGATGAGGTTTCACCACTTTGGACAGGCTGGTCTTAAACTCCTGACCTCATGGTTCATCCACAACTCCCTCCCAAAGTGCTGGGATTACAGGTGTGAGCCACCTTGCCTGGCCCACCAGTTTGATTTCTGCTACTTTATGGGCTCCATTTTTTTCCTTTTTTGGAAACTTAGAATCTTCTTTATATTTAGAGTTCAAACATTTCACATGGTTAATGTTTGTTTTTAGTTCTGTATTAGTGGATGCTTTCAGTTCTAGAAAACTTTTTTGCATTTTTGTTGATAATTTTCTGTCCTTCCTTTGTTTTCTCTTTCTCATATAATAGCACGGTTGAACTGATTCTTTATCTGTCTTATTTTCTCTCAGAATTTCCAACTCTTTATATATTTATTCTATTTATTTTTTTCCCTGAGATGGGGCCTGGCTCTGCTGTCCAGGCTGTAGTGCACTGGCATTATTTTGGCTCACTGCCACCTCCGCCTCTGGGCTTAAGCCATCCTCCCAACTCAGCCACCTGAGTAGCTGGGACTATAGGCACAAGTCACCATGCTTGGCTAATTTTTTTTGTAGAGACAGGGTTTTGCCATGTTGCCCAGTCTGCTCTTAAATTCCTGGGCTCAAACAATCTGCCTTCCTTGGCCTCCCTAAGTGTTGGGATTATAGGTGAGAGCCATTGCACCTGACCCTATTTTCTTTTTCTTTTGTTTTTTGAGATAAGGTCTCTTGTTCTGTCACCCAGGCTGGGGGGAAGCACCACAATCCTGGCTTACTGCTGTCTTGACCTCCCAGGATCAAGCAATACTCCCACCTCAGCCTCCTGAGTAGTTAGGACCACAGGTGTACATCACCATACGTGGCTAAGTTTTAAAAATTTTTATAGAGGTGGGGTCTCACTATGTTCCCCAGGCTTCTTCTATTTTTTTTTTTTGAGACGGAGTTTCCCTCTTGTTACCCAGGCTGGAGTGCAATGGCGCAATCTCGGCTCACCGCAACCTCCGCCTCCCGGGTTCAGGCAATTCTCCTGCCCCAGCCTCCTGAGTCGCTGGGATTACAGGCACTCGCCACCATGCCCAGCTAATTTTTTATATTTTTAGTAGAGACGGGGTTTCACCATGTTGACCAGGATGGTCTCGATCTCTTGACCTCGTGATCCACTCGCCTCGGCCTCCCACAGTGCTGGGATTACAGGCTTGAGCCACCGCGCCCGGCCTCTATTTTTTTTTTTTAAAGTTCAGTGACTTTATCTTTCAATACTTTAATTAAATGTATAATTGGGCCAATTTCTTACATTTCAAGATCTACTTTTTTGCGATGGAGTCTTGCTCTGTGGCCCAGGCTGAAGTGCAGCGGTGCAATCTTGGCTCACTGCAGCCTCTGCCCCACCCCGAGTTCCAGTAATTCTCCTGCCTTAGACTCCTGGGTAGCTGGGATTACAGGCATCTGCCACCATGCCAGGCAAATTTTGGTATTTTTAGTAGAGATGAGGTTTCACCCTGTTGGCCAGGCTGGTCTCAAACTCCTAACCTCAGGTCATCTGCCCACCTTGGCTTCCTAAAGTGATGGGATTATAGGCATGAGCCACTGTGCCCGGCCAAGATCTACTTTTAAATCTTGGATGTTAGCATACTAGTTAGGTTTTCTAAAATCTCTGCAGTTTCTGTTTATCTCCCCCACATTCCACATTGGAGAATTCTTTTTTTTTTTTTCTTCTGGTGCTGTGACTTGGATGAGACTTCTCTTAAATATCTAATAATTCTTAGTTGTCTGTTCATATATAAGATGAGGTAGTTGGAATGCTGATGAGGAGTCTTGTGAACTTGGGAGGGATCTTAGTCTATTTTATGTTGCTATAAAGGTATGCCTGTCACTGGGTAATTTATAAAGAAAATGCATTTACTTAGCTCACGATTCTGCAGGCTGTACAAGAAGCAAGGCACAGGCCTCTGCTCAGTTCTGGTGAGGGCTTTTGTGCTGCATCAAAACATGGTGGGGGAGATCAAGGGAAAGTGTCTGCAAACATGCAGAGAGAGATCAAACCCGAGGTGATTCCTGGCTTTACAACAAACTGAAGGAACAAATCCATTTTCCTGATAACCAATGTAGTTTTGCAAGTATGGGAACTCACTACTGCAAGAATGACACCAAGTCATTCATGAAGAATCTGCCCCCATGACCCAAACACCTTTTACCAGGCCCCACCTCCTAAGACTATCACACTGGGGATAAAATTTCAACATGAGATTTGGTGGAGACAAAAAAACCCATATCCAAACCATAGCAGGAATTTCCGGTCAACTTGCCCAACTTCACTTTAAAGTGAAGTAGGAGTGGGTAGGAAACCAGCTACTGTGCTAGGATAAAGAATGCTTTAGTCTTAGGCCATTCAATACTCAGTTGTCCCAAATCTCCCCAGATTAGGAGAATGCTTAATTTTAGACTGGGATAAATGCCTAGATATTGTTTCTGAGATATAGGGAGGGTTCTGCTCTTCTTTATATAGACCTTTATTTAGTTTACCTGTTTTCAACGCTGCTTCTCACTCTTGCTCTCTCTTGTAGGTATCTCCAAATCTCAGTTTCCCTAAAGCACTCTGAGCTGATATGTCCCCTTGATTTCTGCAGTACCTTCTACACCCATTCTACATTACGGTTTTCTCCATTTTATTTTGTCAGACCACACTTACTTTTTTTGCATGTCAATTAAAAAAAAAAACTATCTTCTGATGGCCCCCTTCTGATTTTCTATCTTTTTTCATTTTCATTTATCATCATTCTATTGGGTTTCAGGAAGAAGAGGCAGTAAATATATGTGCTCAGTTAGCTAGCTTTAATCAAAAATCCTAAATGTAGGTTTTAAAAAAGATATCTGGAGCAGGGTAGGAAATTATATTTTTTGCCAGTGTGGTGGCAAAAAATAAAAATCTGGTGTTAGGACAGTATTTCTGTGTATACCTTAGTGCTTAGTAACGTGACTCTCCAGATCCACATATGTTAAGGACACGATGTATTTCAGACACCTACTTCAAACCTCATTTTACAGTTAAGTAAGACCAGAAGTAGAATGATTTGCCGGAGGCCACACAAGTAGACAGTGGGAGAATGAGAACAGAAAGATCTATTGACTCCTAGTTGACTTTTCTCTTACCTTACCACACTGCTAGGGAGTAACAAGATGGGGGGACCACGAGTCAGATGAGAAAGGTCATGAAAAATAGTCAAAGGATGACTTTTCCTGGGTAATTAGCCGGATGTCCAAGAAATGAAATGCTGGTCTGGCAGCACATCTTCTAACAGTTGGTAGTCATATGCAGGAAGTACTGTAGGGGGAGATGACAGCAGGCCCAGGAATTGCAATGATCCAAGTGCGAGTCAATCCTGGGAGGGAACAATTAGAGTCCGGGCAGGATGAAACAGTAGAAACTGTTGAGTGAATGCATGTGAACACTGAGGAGCGACTGGAATTTGTTGGAGGGATTAGGAGGCAATATAAAGTGGTTAATTATGGTGGTGGGGGTAAGTAGGAGTAAAAAATGATGGCTTTTAACTCCTCTCAAGGACACTGAAAATTATTTTAATAAACACTGGACATCTGGGAATAAATATAATTCACACCATTCTTACTTTCTTGGTTTAGAGATAGCTTATCTACATCCTTACATTAATGGCTACCCTCTGCATGCCTCCAAAAAAAAAAAACAAAAAAAAAACCACACACACACAAAACAAAAAACAAAACCGGCTGCGAGTCTGCACGAGAAAATCGGGTTGCCAGACTCCAGGACCCAGCCGCCCGCCCCCTTGCCTAGCTGTCTGAGGCTAAACAAACAGCTCCCGAAGCAGTGTTTGGCACAGTGCACGGTCGGAGCGTGGACACTAATTTCCGCCCACGCTCCCCACGTCCTGGTCGGATCACCACAGAACACGACGTCCAGTACTGGGGTCCTCGGCGATGCCCGTGTGCGCAATGCCGCACGTCTCAGGTCAGATGACCACTAACTTCGTGGCCGCGTTCGGCGAAGCTAAGGGGAAAAAAAGCTTCCTTGGCACAAAGCGTTAACCCGGTAGCCCGAAATGATCCCGGCACTGCTCTCGCTGCGCTTGCGGCCACGGGCGTGGGTAACGGGCCACGAGAAGGGGGTGGGGCTCCGCTTAGGTTTGGGAAGACAAGACGCTGCTCCTCGGGCTTCCAGCGTCCACTTTCTACGGCAAGCAGGAGGAGACAAACGCCGCCCTGCGCTCGCGGAGCCGGCCCCGGCTCTCCCCTCCCTTGGCCTCAGGGGTCGTGTGTGAGAGTGTATGTGTGTGTTTACGCAAGGACGCTAAGCGCCCATCATTCTGTTTCGGTGCCGATCCACCACCGTGGCGCCGAATCTCCCCCGCTTCCCAGCCCCTCACCCGCGTGTCCCGGAAGGCGCCCGGAGGTCCCCGGGCCGACGCGTCACGCTCCTGGGAGGCTGAGAAAAAGCGAGGCAGCCGGCCCAGGAGGCCGGGGAGGCGCGCAGCGTCCCGCGGCGGGGCTGAGGGCGGGACTAGGTGTCTCGCGCAGGGGGCGGGGCGCAGTGACGTCGCGGGCGCCCGGGCAGTGCTGTGGCTGTGGCTGTGGCGGCGGCGGCGGTGGTGGTAGTGGTGGCGGCGGCGGCGGCGGCGGCGCCCGGGCGGCAGCGGCAGCAACAGCGGCAGCCCCGAGGGTGAGACGGCCGCAGCGGCGGCAGCGCGGAAGTCGCGCGGGACCCAGAGCTTCCACCCTGTCGCTAGCGCTGAGGCTTTCGCCTTTCCTACCCGCCTTCTTGCTCACGGCCCGAGCTGGGCTGGGCAGGGCAGGGCAGCGCGCCCCCGGGGAGGGGCGGAGCTGTAGGTGAGGCATCGGGACCCCCTCCCCCTCCTCGCCAGCCCGGAGGGTGAGGAGGGGCGGGCCCCACCCAGACCCGCGGACCACCGGCGCCCACCCGCGGGCTCCACCCAGCCAGGCTCTGGGATTGGGCGGGAGCCGAGGCGGTAGATTTGGGGAGCCCCGGGCGGGAGGTGGGAGGCGGGGAGCAGGGGCTCTGGGCACTCGGGGAGCGGAGGGTGGGAGGCTTAGGAGTCGTGAGACTGCGGACGAGGTAGTGGGGAGACGGGGAAATTAGGGAGCCATGAGGTTAGGGTGCGGTCAGGGTGGATCTGTGGGTTAGGTGAGTGATGTAAAATGTTGAAGATGATTCTTTTCATTTTGATGAAATGGTGAGATAAAAGATGAAGCGTTGTATTTCAAAAGAAAGATGAGCCATGCGTGTTGCCTTTGAGGCAGTTGGAGAACCTATTGCACTAGATCTCACGTTTCTACTTTAGGGTTCGATTCTTTTTTTCCTCTGGCGGGGTGGGAGGGGAGGTGGGAGAGGGAAGACAATCCTCTTGCTTTGGCTCAGGTAAATTGTAAGCGTGGATGTATCTGAAAGTTTTACACCCAAGAAGAGGGAGATCTTCGATTCAGACAACTTCTTTGTGGCACCCACCATTTGGGTATAGGTCGCATTACACTTAGCTCCTTCAAGGTGGTGTCTTCCAGTTTTTGTTTGTTAGTTTTGTTTTTCCCTGAGCCTAAAAGATCTGTTTATACCCAGGCTTTATGGACCCTTGCGAGAAGGCCCCAGACTTAGGTGGTTGCTTTGGAAGACACGTTTCTGAGTAATAGTTGCAGGTGGTTGTGATTGACTGCTTTGGGTGGATGAAGTGAACAATTTAAACAGTTCTGTTGGAGCTAATTACAGGAGAAATGCTTAAATGTTTTAAAGTACAACCGTCTTTTACAGTGTGTTGCTCAGTGGACCTTGACTTTTAGACATTTTGTATTCAATGCCAAATTGTTGGATTTTTTTTCTTTTTTTTTTTTTTTTAAATAATTTTGCCGTGGAACCGCGTATAGCCTGAACACATAAATTGTTGGATTTTTATTTCTCATTTGCAGTTATATTTATTGCAGTCTTTATTAAAACTTTAAAAATGAAATGAAACTTTGATTTTTTTAGTCGGCCCCTCAATTTCTGAGAAATATTCTTGGAGTCAAGTGCTTTGAAAACATTTTGGGGGCATGTGTATCACTTCGTATGGAAATGTTACTAAGAGTAAGCAGCGTTCAGTGTTCTTCACATCACTCTTTCACAACTTAGCACTGTGAATCAGAATCTTCTTTTATGGATTCCTGCTCCCCGTTAGATTACGGTATTCACTAGCCCTACTTATCGGTTAGTGTCAGTTAAGCTATTTCTTGTTCAGAAAACTGGTCCCACGATGACATGTATTATGTAATGGATGGAAGTGTAGACATGGCTCTCAAAAATTCATTTATGGAGGAAGAGAAACTGTCATGAAGTGAGATTTAAGCAGTGACTTTCCCAAGACTTACCCAGGTTATTTGGGAAAATAGCCAGAGAAGTGCTTTCCTGTAACTCAAAAGGTAAATATACAGATATGAATTTCAGTAGTTGCAGATCACTGCTTTTTCTAAGTGCCTACTTAATGAGCAGATTATTGTCTTCCAGCAAATACTTCTACTTATAGAGACGTATGGGAAACAGGATATAATAGGTATTAAGTGAGAAAGTGTGTGGTCCAATTTACAATTATAAATAAAAGATTTAATTAACTGTATTCAGTTAATTCATTTGGTAAATGAATAGTTTTGACTTTAGTTAGAAGGAAAACTTAAAATATCTAGTTTTGGCTTTTAAATTATACATAGATTTAAACAAGTGGGACAAATGGGAACTAAGATACTGGGTAAAATTTGTGTGCATTCCTAAAACGACATTTGCATGGCTGGTAGTAAGCTGTGATTCTTGTTCTTGGAATGAAATCACATAATTTGGGAGAAAGTCTAAGGTAAAAGTAAGCTATTTCATTTAGCATTTCTTGTGCCTGAAAATAAGCCTACATTTTATTTTTCACAAAATGTTGCTTGCTAGTCATTACTTGTGATATCCTTGTTGAGTCTACTGAGGTGTACTTTTTTTTCCTTCATTACCTACGTCATAGATAAGTATGCCAGTCTGTTAATTCAACATTAATACTGTAAACTTGAAAGTGAAGGGTCTCATAGCAACAGCTGCTCTGTTTTACACTATGGTTACATTTAGAAGTAGTATGAGAGTTGTTAAATGTGTGTTTTACACATATTCTATCAGAAACATTAAGGGAGAAAGATCAAGGAATGAAGTATTTTGGTTAATAATCAGTACATTGATTATCAGTTTTCAGAGACGTAAACAGTATACAGATTATGTGGAATGTAGTTTTTTTCTTATTTATTTTTTATTTTTTTTTTGAGATGGAATCTTGCTCAGTTGCCCATGCTAGAGTGCAATGGCTCGATCTCTGCTCACTGCAACCTCCACCTCCTGGATTCAAGTGATTCTCCTGCCTCAGCCTCCCAAGCAGCTGGAATTACAGGCACATGCCATCATACCAGGCTAATTTTTGTATTTTGAGTAGAGACAAGGTTTCACCATGTTAGTCAGGTTGGTCTTGAACTCCTGACCTTGTGACCCGCCTGCCTTGGCATCCCAAAGTGCTGGGATTACAGGCGTGAGCCATTGTGCCTGGCCTCTTATTTATTTTATTTTTATTTTTGTATGGAATATAATTTAAATCTGTTGCCAAGTCTTGCAGTGTATTATAGTTTGGGTTTTGGAGTCAGAGTGCCTGAGTTCAAATCCTGGCTTTGCCTTGGTATGATGTAGGGCAAAATGCTTAGTGTTGTTTATTTCCCAACCTTAACCTGTGCCTTAATTTCTTCACTGCAAAATAAAAATAACAGCAGAACCTAATCTCTCTCTCTTTTTTTTTTTTTTTTTTTTTTTGAGACAGAGTTTCGCTTTTGTTGCCCGGGCTGGAGTGCAGTGGCACATTCTTGGCTCACTGCAACCTCTGCCTCCTAGGTTCAAGTGATTCTCCTGTCTCAGCCTCCCAAGTAGCTGGGATTATAGGCATGTGCCACCACACCTGGCTAATTTTTTGTAATTTTAGTAGAGACAGGGTTTTACCATGTTGGCCAGGATGGTCTCCATCTCTTGACCTTGTGATCCACCCGCCTTAGCCTCCCAAAGTGCTGGGATTACAGGCGTGAGCCACCACGCCTGGTCAGTACCTAACCTCTTAAGCTGGTCAGATGAATTAATTCAAGTATTTAGACAATTTAAGCACATAATTAGCTGGTTCACTAACATCTTTTTAAGTTTTACTGTGAATACTATACTTACTTAATAAGTATATATTAAGTACGTGTTATGTACCACATATTCTACGTGCTGGTATCATAGCAGTAAATGGGTCTCCCAGCACGTTGGGAGGCATGGCTGGGCAACATAGTGAGACCATGTCTCTGCAAAAATAAAAAAATTTAGCATGGTGGTATGTGCCTATAGTCTCAGCTACTCAGGAGACTGATGCAGGAGAATCATTTGAACCCAGGGGTTCAAGGCTGCAGTGAGCTGTCATTCTGTCATTGCACTCCAGCCTGAGCGACAGTATGAGTGAGACTCCATCTTAAATGAATGAATGATTGAATGAATGAATGGGCAATAGGAGCTTATATTGTACTTTTGTCAGTTGAGAGTATATCTGACCAAGGTGAATGGTGAGAAGGGGTTGGATTTTGGATATATTTTGAGGGTAGACCTATAGAATTTGCTGGTGGTTGGATGTGGGATGTGAGCAAAACAGAAGAATAAAGAACAAGGTTTTTGGCCTGTGTGACTGGAAGAATAAAGTTGCCAATAACTGAGATGGAGAATGGTAATTGGTGGAGCATGTTTGTGGAGAAACCAGATGTTCAGGGTGATGTCTAGGAAGAGTGATAAATGTGGCTGTTTTCAGCTTATTTGCAGTATTTAAAATTATGAGGTAGGTGAGATCATCAGGGGAGTGAATTTTGGTAGAGAAGAGATCCAGACGTCTGAGCCTTGGGCACTGATTCATTCACTTATTTATTCAGAAGTTATTTAGCGAGTATGGTTCTTCTAGGTACTTTTTAAGGCATTGGGATGAACAAACAAAATCTTCATCTTCATGTAATTTACCCTCTAGATACATCAGGGGGTCGGGGAGGGGCCAGGGGATTGAAGAGGAACCAGTAAAGGAGAGTGATAAGAAATCATTGAGTTGGGAGGAAAATCAGGGGAGTATGATGTTCTAGAAGTGAAGGAAAGGCAGCTTTCAACAAGGAGGGAACGATCAACTGTGTCATCGTTTAAAATTGCGTCAGAATGTTGAGTAAGAGAGAATTCTGCTTGATTATAATGTCTAATAGAGAAATGTCTAAATACTTTTTAGTATGAGATAGATGAGGCAAATGTAAGAATCTTTTAGTGTTTTACTTCTCTAGGTTGATTTTTTCTTCTTTTTTTTTCCCACCTGCAACTGTCTTGATTGAGTTATACTCTGGGTTGATTTTTAAGAAATATTTTAGTCAGGCACATGCCTGTAGTTCTAGCTGCTCTGGAGGCTAAGGCAGGAGTATTGTTTGAGCCCAGGAGACCAAGGCTATCTAGTATGTTGTGATTGCATCTGTGTATAGCCACTGCACTCCAGCCTGGGCAACATAGTGAGACCTCATCTCTAATTAAAACAAAAATTCATTCTTTTCAGAACAAAATAGGCAGCCTGGGAGTGCTAAGGAAAGGTATGTTACTTTTTATTGTTGCTGTTAATTTTATATACACTTAAGAAATAGGTAATATATGTATTACATTAGAAAGTACAAGAAAATATACAGTTAAAAGTCTTTCCTATCCTATTTAGTTCTTTCTGAAGGCAATGACTATTTACAGTTTCTTGTTTTTTCTTTTTAACTAATGAAATTCTGTGTAATAAGGCATTTAG